CAAAGGATCAATCCAAGAAGAAGATATAACAACTGTAAATATTAAAAAAATGAAGCATATTATTATGTGGAAAAAACGTACAGAACTGTTTTCATATTAAGGTACCTTTTAGCTAAGAAAAGGGGAGATACAAATATGTTTCCATTTTTTTAAATAAATAAAAGTGAATAAAAATGTTACCCATAGAAGGAGGAAGGGAACTGGGCAGAGGGGACAGAAGTGAAAGCTAGACCTCTTTAAATACACCTTTATGGGACTTCCCTGGAGGTCCAGTGGTTAAGACTCTGCACTTCCACTGCAGGGGGTGCGGGTTCAATCTCTGGTCAGGGAACTAAGATCCTGCATGCAGCGCAGCCAAAAAACAAAACAAAAAGAAAATACACCTTTATTTTGTAGATATGACTTTGAAACCATGTAAATATCTTACAAAATTATAAAACAAAAATTTAATCAAAAGGAAAAAGAAAAAAATCAATCCCTAAAATTTGAAAGCAAGAAGAATGAAGAAAAAAAAAGAATCCATGTATCATGTCAAGTTGGTGGTGTAACTACAGAGATGAATTCCTTCAGAGCCACAATAATTGGACAAAAAGAACTGGACAGAAATCTTGAGCTCTTTTCAGTAATCATTTGTTAGTAATAATACTAGTATTGTTGTTCTGAAATTATATGTAAAGAGTAGGATAGAATAAATAAGTACAGCTGACCCTTGAACAACATGGGTTTGAACTGCACAGGTACACTTATATGAAGATTTTTTTCACTAAACGTGTACTACAGTACTACACAACGCATGGCTGATTGAATCCACAGATGTGGAACCACAGATACGAAGTGGATTTTCGACTGCACAGGGGTTGGCGCCCTTAACCATGGCCTTGTTCAAGGGTCAACTGTAAGTATTCTAATGTTGTCAGGACTAAAGTTTTAATTGTAAGAGACAAGAGATAAAAATATAAAATCAAAGGATTTAAGTAAAAACTCTATAATTTTTAATTTGATTTGGACATATTACTGTGAACTCATGATATATTTTCTTTTAAAAAATATTTCCTAGCTCTGTCCACTAAAAAGGCATTGAAATATGACCAACTCAGTATAAATAAGCACACACCTAGCACCCTGCCATTTCCCACTAACAGAGACAAGGATTCCTTAAAGAAACGGCTGAGGGCTTCCCTGGTGGCGCAGTAGTTGAGAGTCCGCCTGCCGATGCAGGGGACGCGGGTTCGTGCCCCAGTCCTGGAAGATCCCACATGCAGCGGAGCGGCTGGACCCGTGAGCCATGGCCGCTGAGCCTGCGCGTCCGGAGCCTTGCTCCACAATGGGAGAGGCCACAACAGTGTGAGGCCCACGTACCACAAAAAAAAAAAAAAAAGAAACGGCTGATTCCAGCTCCCAAGCATAAAATGGACTAGATGTGCTAGAAATATCTTATCATTCCAGAACTATCACAGCCATCTAGGTCTCACAGCCAATTTAAAGAGGTTCC